GTCGGCGACATCGCTCGGTTGCGATGCCGTATTAAAGGACGATGCACCGGTGAATACAAGCGAAAACGCACACGTACACGGTAGAATACATCCATTAAATCTCCTACGATGTAAAACTGCTTTGTGACAAAATAACTAAGAAAATAAACATAAAAATTCCACTCGTGAAAGGAATGACAATTGAGATGTATAAAAAAGTGGCCTCTTCTAATATCGAAGCAGGATGTAAAAAATAAGAATAACACTCTAAATAAAATAACAAAAAATAAATAAAAATATAATAAATATATTTGTCGTAATGTAATATAATATATATGTTACTTTTTATACTTGCTGTTACTACAGCCAATTATTTAGCTCTTTCGTCTACGTTTTAATCCGTCCCTATCGTCTAAATAACCAGAAGCTTCATCAACAGAGGCTGCAACAGGAATGTCAAACATTCACCTATCTCCCGGTAGGTCGTATTCTCTCCCGTAGGTAGAGAATATTAGGTATGCTGCTTTCGGAAACGAAATGTTACCCCTTTATCGGTCGTGAATGCCCAGGTGATCGCGCTGCTGCTATCTGACCTGATCGGACCAACTGATCTCGAAGTAGATGATGTGTCTGTCTGCTTGCCGCGGTTCCAAATTAAGAGAAACGGACGAGCCGTTTGGCTTGTTAGATAACAATCGTCGTGCCGACTGTTATCTGACAAACCACTACCCCTGTCGCAAATCACGACTGTATCGCTGAGATCAGGTTAATTGTGGGCTTCCTGAGCCTGTGAACGGAATCTCTCGCATTTACTTTGGAGTTTGGGAGGAAACTGCAACTTCGGACTTGGGACACTTTAATGTAAAGGAAATTAAGTCCTGTGTTTTGTGATAAAAAGTCACGACAAAGTGAATAATATTTATTGAACGAAGAGCTATTCGTATTGTGGATTAAAGATTACATAAGGAATTCAATTTCAAAAGAACATTAAGTCTCAAACGCGATATTTCAAAGTAGGTCAAATAATAATAACCTAAGTTTTACGATGTATCGGCTGATTTTTATCATTTCTATGTAAAATATATGGAGAGATAGAGAGAAAGAGAAAGAGGGGGGGGGAGGAGGGAGAAGAACAAGAAAGAGAAATATCAAAGCGATGAGTGAAAGCGGCGTAGGCTAGGTCTTTATCGGTAGATTCATTCCATTTTGAATCCCATTGTGATAAGATGCAACATCGAAATTTAATTAAACGCGCCTCGCCGTCCGACAGAGCCTAGTATCTTTTAGCCCGTGATGTTTACGAGCTCAAACCGTTAATAGCTTTCCACGCGACCGAGCTCGAGAAAATGAAGCTACATCCGCATTAAGAAAACATACAGGGAAGATTAATGATTACAGACGATTTGGTAACAATGCAGTTCGCTGGAAAAGCAACCACGCGATTCACACCAGACTTAATGGACGGATAAAAAAATGTTGCGTCTACAAATATTGCCGTTAAAAGGCATTCCGTTATTATCTCTTAAGCATGTAAATGCGCGCTGCACCGGGTATTAATTAATCGAGTCTCGCTGTAAATACGACCGCGTATCGATGGGAATCTAAAGAAATTCCGAAAACCGTTCGGGATCGCCATAAAATAATATTGTTCAACCGAATGCCGGAGACGCGGGAATTCGGACAAACTATTTCCCGAGCCGTACAACGCAGCCGGACTTATTTATTTGTACTGCTTTCATGACCTCGGTGGAGGATGTTATTACAAGGACCTTCTCCTACGATATACAATGATTACATAAACGTTGGCAGGACCCGGATAATGTCGATTTTGTCAACCCGACTTTAACGCTTCTTTTGTGCCTTCTACGTGGAGTTGCGTGGGCGACGCAGCCATCAAGACGACAAGGGAGTCACAATAAAAAGGTACATATATCTCGTAATTATTATTGATAGTTGTGCAGTAATCTCACCGTGATAACAAATCCATTATCGAGAAAATAAAAAAAATTCTCATAGAACATTCTTTCCACTTCTTGCAATATTAGAAAAAAAAAACGCTTGTTAAAAATTATATTTTACAAGAAGATGCGATGATGAAAGATGCTTCATTAATTAACTAAAAAGGATATTCCTCTCTGAGAAATAACTCTTGTTCACGTGGCATAAAGCGATCCTTTCCTACAAAGCGTTCCTAAGCTATTGTTCGATACGAGAATAGCTTTATCAAGATGTACTATTCGCAAGAAGGGCTATTGATCAATCGATTGAAGTAGGTGCTACAATGGACGCGTACAGCCTTTCTTTCTGTTTCCTGACCGCACACAAGCCGCCGTATCACGATTCGTAACACGCGTTTCACGTATTCCAGTGTTGTCTGTTTCGTTAGCAAACATCGGCGCACCATCGCGTGTGTGGCCGAATACACGTCGTTTTTTCGCTCGCGAATTTCGTCTCGGTAAAATCCTCACGGCGCGGTCCATCGAGGGATCCTCGAGAGACACTCGGAAAAGGTGCACTTGAAGGTCCGTGCATACGTAACGCGTTTAATTCCCGCGTACAGCGTACCCACTGTGTAAAAAGTATTTCGTACTCCAAAAATTGCGATCTGTTCTTCCTTTCATCGTGGTGAGATTAATCTTTAAACATTCAATTTTTCAACAGAGAAATTGAATGGCAACTAGGAGTCTGCGCAAAAATTTTACGTACTTATTTATATTAAAAAAACACCAAACAATTATGTACTTTGGATTTTTAATGTGAAATAAATACATACGTTTATTTTGTCCTTACATTTCTTTATTATGATATTTTCGAGAGTTCTCTGATATTTTATACATTTAATTTTATCGTGCAATTAAATCTTACTTTTTTATTTGTTAAAAGAACGAAATCTCCCTTGCACGAGTAATCTCGATGAACAATCTGACATTTTTTTTTCACGCACTCGTACATTCACACGTATTTCCGACGTAAAAAAAAAAAGAAAAAATATTTGTCATCTACAATCGATCCGAAGCCCATCGGCGTCGCGTTATCCGGTTATTTCACGTTGGGTCCGTGTCGTCGGCGAGGCTCAAAAGGATCATTTCGTCGAAGGGATCGGTCGCGACGCGATCCATCCATCCATCCATCTCGGAATCTGCAAGCTCACGCCCGTGAAATATTTTTTGTACGCGTAACACGAGTGCGGTTCCCAGCCCGTCGCGGTGCTCCCTTTTGGTTACGTCTTACAAGGCTTTTCGCTCGCGGGCAAACATCGCGCCGTGGTTTGCCTGGTAATTGCTGGAAACACCTCGCGAGTGTTTACAATGTCATCGAGGCGCCGTCACACTTCGGCGGTGTGCGGGTCCTATGAAAGCCCGTCACGTAAGAAGCGACCGTGATGTCCGTGATAGCCGCTGAGAAATTTTGAAGGCTTTCCGTCTTTCCTCTCTATGAGAAACTCTTAGACACATTTACTTTATCCTAACATGGATAAGATAAAATGATTTTAATATACACAGAAAATGCATGTGTGGGCGTGTCAAGAGGCACGTCTCGAAGCAAATTGCTTTGAAAAGTAAAATTTTTTTTAGCCGTATAATTTATTTTTGAATCTTTCTTCTTTTTCTTTTTTTTCCTCAAATAACGAAAGATTAATAGTTCCATCTATATTGTTAAAATAGTAATGGATAATCACTTACTAAGTTAATTGGAATTTGAATCAAAATCATTCTTAAATTTCAAAAATTTCATATTATTATTTGATAAAATATTCCTAAAAATTTATGATTCATCTTGTAATATTTTTGCGCAATGAATTCTCTTTTTTTTCATTTGACAAAAGGTATCTACATTATTATCGCGATTAATCTTGCCTATTGTCAGAGTTACTTAGGCGATACGCGATATCACATTCTCGGTTTTACAATTATGCATGTAATACGTAGTAAAATATGAAGAAAAATACAATGTTTGCACACAATGCTGAACGATTGATATTGAAAGCTTGGGACGCAGATCCGTTTTAACGCTTATTCATTGTACAATTGTGTGATATGATAGGACATTATTTATTCTTATTAGAATGTTTATGACGATGACATTGTAGCACAGCAAGCATACCTTTTGCGAAATATATGAATGCATGTAAAATAAATCTAATAGATAGATAAAGATCATAAGATAAAAATAAATCACATGAAACCTGCTGCTCACATGATACCAGCTGGATTTCAGTCTGCTGCCCATGATCAGTCTTAGTAACTCCATCTATAGGAATCTCTTAGAAATTTCGAATCATGGATTTTCAGATAAAAAAATATTCGGAAAACGCATATATTATTAAAGATAATTTTTTATTAAATTTACCATTGTAATTTATTTAATTTATC